AATGTTTGCCATCTTCTTACTTTTTCCCCGTTAATGTCAGTGGTTCCATTGCCAGTTTCTCAGTGTTGCTGGCTGACAGAGGAGTCAGTGTGACATTCTTCTCATTTATTAATCAGTGTATGCGAAATACATACTGTAAGCCACTGTTTTCAGTACTGCCCAGAAAGAAAAACGCAGATAATTCATGACCCCAACCTTTGCTGCTTTGAGGTAATGTTTAATCCATATCCAGCATGCTTTTTGTTACTGCACAGCATAATAGTTCTTGGCTGTAGAGCCAAACTCAAAGCAAATAGCAATTTTATATATATATATATGATGTGAGAAGTCTGAGAGCAAGGCTGATAGTAAATCCCCTGTGGATGTGGAATATAGATTTCAAGATGCAGTCCATGCCATAACCACATGCGCTCTGCATCGTAATTCTTTACATCTGAGAATTAGTGCTTATAGTCAGGGGAGTGTGGTGTAACTGGCTGCAGAGTCAGGGCGTAGATTTTCACAAGCTGTTCCTTGATAACACTTGAGTCCTTTTGCTTTGTGCTCTGCATTTGGATTTTCGTTTTGTTCTCGTGATTATAAAACTGATGTATGAGTTGATGTATGTCTGTGGTCTGCCATATGAACATCATTTTGCTTTCACTGCCATTTTGTTTTGATGGATGCCTTTGTCTTTTGGTTCACAATGATATTAACAGCTAAATCAGATTCCATCTGATTCAGAAATTAAGCACTATTTATTCAATCAATTTCCTCATTCATTTTGTTGTGTGACTAGAAGTCTATAATCATTTATCCCAAACCCTTGGGGCTTCAGAATTTAGTTTTTGATTTTTTAATAATGATAAAGGTTTAAATACCACATGACACTTTTGATGGGGTTTGTACAGCATCGTGTAGTCACAGCACTACTCATTCTATAATAAAACATAGAAATGTTGAGATTAGTTGATACAAGGAGAGACATGGAGTGAGCTGATGTTCATGCAGGTCACATCTACTTTTGTCACCATATGGAAGAGACCTTTGATGGTTTGAGCTTTATGGACTTTGGAATCTCAGATAAGAGATTTTTCCTGATTTACAAATGAGGTGAACCAGAGAGTGACATTTGCTCCCAAAAAGCACGCATTGCTTCATAAATGACCATATTTCTACCTTTGTTGTAAGGCAATTGTGGTTTGTTTACATCTTTTAAAAGAACAAAAGTGACTCAGTGGCTCAACAAGTGACCGATTCTGGACTCTGTTGTAATCAGGGCTCTCACGTGATTTGATGAGGTTCCTTTTAGTTTTTCATGCGTTTTTGTCTCTAGGGTCTCAGTCTCTCACCTAGCAGCCTCTGTTCTAAGCTATCCTCTTGCAGTGGCAAAAATAGCTACAGCAACTCAGTTCAAATTCAAATTTTCTCCCCTCTTCCTCTCTGAACTCCTTTTCATTGGTGCTGACTGAGTCACATCTTGGAGGTGCTGACTGGATTAGGTCTGGGCCACCTGATTTATCCTGGGGTTCGGGTAACATAAATTTCAATTGAACTCATGTAGCTTCTCAGAGACTTGGAGCTGTTGCCACAGGAAATGGAAACACTGAATGTGACCATACATATCAACCCTGGGTTTGTTTTGTTTAATTAAAATTGTCTAGTGCCAATCAGTACAGTTAATCATAACATATTTGCAGCTCTTTCTAGCCTTCCTGCTGATTGATAATTAAAATACCTTCATTCTTTTGTGTGTTTGGGAAACAGAGACAGACAGAGTACTCACACACTGGTTTACTTCCCAATTGCCTGCCCCAGAGGCTGGACCAGGTGGAAGCCAGGAGCTCCGAACTCAGTCCAGCTCTTCTAGATCTTTGGCGGGGATGCGACTGTTATAGCAATCATTTGATGCCCAGTGCCTCAGTAACGCACTCTCCCCTTGGCCCTGCCTCCCCAGAATCCGCATTAGCATAAAGCCAAACATGGGGAGCCCAAGCCAGGACTTGAACCCAGGAACTGAAATATGGGACTTAGGCATTTTAGTGGTTGGAACACACACCCCTTTACTGGTATACCTAACAAAATACGAGGGTACTTCAAAAAGCTCACAGACAATGGAAAGAAAAAATAGATTCATTTTGGCACCAATTTTTAAAAAGTTCTTGCAATTTTCCATTTCCTACAAACTTTTTACTCTCTTTAATAAAAGCTTGCAAGTCTAAAACAAAATCTAAACTGTACTAATGATCACATTACAATTGTTAGGGACCCATAGCATCTTCAGCTACAATGTGGCAAGCTTTCAAGGCTTTGGTTGATATCTTCAGAGAGGTGATTCTTTAAGTTCATGCCTATATTGTCTTTTTGTTTCAGAACTGATTGTTCATAACTATCACTATTATTATTTTATCCATACTGTCCTGCATGATGCTTTGCAACCTAAGACTTCAACGTAATGCCTTGGCTTGGATTTTCCACCATTTACTTGTATGAGTTATTTAACCTCTCTGCTTCTCACTTTCTGTAAAAAGAATACAGTGAGAACATCTACCACACCACTTTGCCCTGAGGGTCACAGGAATTAATATATGCAAAGACTTTAAGAGCCTGACACACAGTAAATGGGCAAAATCTTTACCAATCGTAAAATTCCTCAGGGGTAACACTAATGCTGAAATTCACCTTCAAACAACACACTAGGGGCAGTAAGATTTCCTATGTCCTGCTGCCTTGTGTACATTATTATGAACAATATCGTTTATCTTACTGTCGGGTTAAAGTGAGGAAAAATAAGCCAACCATAATTTTTTCAAAAAGCATTTATTTTGACACAAGAGATTCTAGTCAGCTTTACAAAGTTAGAAAGTGGAAATCCTTCCTGAACTGATGGAAAAATGAATGCAATCTCAAATCCCAAGCCAGACTCCTATTTTGGTTGCTATTCTTTCCCTAAAAGACAAAACCTGATGTCTTCCCAGTGTATATAAAACAAAATTTAAAATCCATATATAGCACTATTTACCACCCACCCTGTCCGTGGTCATGAATATCACAAATTCTTTAAATTTCCCAAGCCTGAGATAAATGTCAGGCCATTCTATAAATTGACTTTATGAAGCATTTCTGAGCTGAGCCTTCTGACATTCACACCAATGTTTCCATAGTAACTAATGTGTTCAGAAGGGGAAGAGCAGGAGAAGATGAAAAACAAAGGAGAGGATCCAAATAAAAGAGGGATGCAAAGTGAGGGGAACCAGAATGTTCTGTGGACTTCGAACTACTTCTCCCAGGAGATGAGTGCTCTTACTCAGGGCAGGGTTGGGGGGGGTGGGGTGCTCCCTCATCTGGTGGGCCCACAGAAGGATACCCACCAGAGCAATTCCCAAAGACTGATCAGTGGGCACCTCATGATCTTAGACCATGACTCATGCACGCCAATTTGGATTATCCCTTCCTCTTTTTATGTTAATCTTAGTTCTGTTTTGAGATGCCTTAGTTGCCGTGGTAACAGAAATAATTTGTGCCTGTCATTGAACTGTCAAAAAAAAAAAAAAGGAAATATGAAGTCAATTTTGAGAACAGTTAGAAAGCAGGGTAGGGAAACATAGGTGCAAGCAATGATCCTAATTGTTTGCAAACATTGAAGCACAGCACCCCAGAACACTATTTAAAGATGGGTCTGTCTTCAAATCCTATTTAACAGCCCCCAAACACTGGCATTCAGAAGCAAGTTTTCCAATAATTAGCTCTCCTGTGATGTCTACAGCAAGGCATCCTTTCTTAAGAAATCTTCAAAAAAAAATAGACTTTCTATGAAAATTGTGTTTAATCTCCAAGTTGTTTCTAGTGCAGCGCAGAGAAATGGCTACAGGAGAGGAGGGCTGTTGTTTTTCTAAATCACGGAGGTAGAAGTGGAGGACATGTTCAGAAGTCTGACTCAGGAAAACAGCCACCTGCAGAGTGCAAAATAATGGGGCCCTGGAATGTCATATTCTGATTCCTGAAACCTGTAATTAGGCTACCATCCCTGGCCAAAGGAACTTAGTAAATGTGATTAAGTTAAGGATCTTGTGGACAGGATGAGGGGGCCACATGACCTGTGTAAATTTTTAAGGGGGAGTCTGGGACATCAAGATTGGAAGGGGCCAGGGGAGGGTTGCAAAGAAGGCAACAGAGGTCAGAGTGACTCAAGTCTGTGCCACATAGCACAGGCAGCCTTAGGATACAAGCAAAGGCAAGCCTAGGGGTCCCCGTGTATGCCAGCCCCCGCTGACACCTTGATTTCAGCCCAGTGAAACTGATTTCAGAGCACCATCTTCCAGAACTCTAAGGTAACAAATCTGTGTTGTTTTAAGCCTCTGGCTTGTGGCAATTTGTTAGAGCAATGCAAGAAAATGGTACAGTGCGATTAGCCGTCTCTGGTCTCACCAGGCTCTCTGAGGCAGTCTGATTTGATCTTGACTCTTACCCAGCAGGATCAAATGGAGCCATCTCCCGACTGGAGGCTGAGCATTTCCTGCCTGCTGGCTGTCATTCTCTAGGGGTCCCATGGGTCAGTCTCTCTCTTGGTGTGATGCTTCAGGGTCCTTAGATCTCATCACTGTGAGGGTCTTGGTCATGGCAAGGTGAGCTGCGGGGGCAGGGGGCAGGTTTCTAAAGCCCCCCCCCCCCCATGGACCACCTGGTGAAAGCAAAGGCCTTCCTGAGAGAGAGCACTCATGTGTACATGGCCCACACCTCTGTTCAGGTGTTTGCGAGGCGAGCTGCCTGTTCTTTGCAACTCCACCATATGTGTCTTCAGGTCTGATGCCATGGTCAATGGACATCAGTAAACTCCACCACTCCCTGGACCATGCTGGACATTCAGTACAGAGATAACAATTTGACTCTAAATAGCTTCCTTGAGTGTGTTTTTATTTTTGCCGTTCTTTTGCTCTTCCTGTTGAGATGCCGTGTTAGCAATGGTCACAATTTCATGCTTAGGAAAACCCTGACAGAGATCTTAAAGTTTTCATCTTCCAGATGCAGAAATGAAGACCCAGGAACTAGACCCACATGAAAGGTTGCACAAGGTGAGAGAGTAGCAGAGCTGGGCCCTCAAACCAGGTGTGACTTTCTGACCCGGCCCTCTAATTGCTGCCTTCTTTCCATGTCCGATGCATCTCAGGATGGTGCCCAGTGGCTCCATTTCCCGCTGGCTCTCAGCAACTCTTTTATCCTCTGAGTCCCAGATGACTCTTAACACCCCTTCACCACGAGGTGAGGAGAATGGGACAGGAGCGGGGAGGGCACAGGTTTGAGGTCAGATCGAAATACGGATCCTGCAGCTGCACAGGCATCCTGGCCTTTCGACGTTCGTTATTCTAGGTGGGAATTGGACGTCTGCAAAGTAGCAGTTCTTGGAGCTCTCTGTGCCCTCGCTTTATTTTCTTCCTCCGCGGTAGGCAGGCTTCAAAGATGACTTGCAAACCTCTGTTCCATGTTGCCACGGACTGAAAGTTTGTACCCACCCCTCCTGCAAAATGTGTATGTTGAAGCTCTAATTAACTGGCACTTTGGTCTTGAACTCCTGAGTCTTCCAGAACTTTGAGAAATAAGTGTTGTGTTGTGGCTGTAAACAAATTGTGGTATGGTTATAGAAATCGGAACCAAGACACCTGGTTAATCTCTTTGCCCTGAATGTGCCTGGAATTCCAAGTATAAGACTTTCAGTAAATTAAAAATGAGATGAGCTAGGTGAATTTGGTCTATTTGAAGTCTTTTTTTTTTTTTTTAAAAAAAAGATGTATTTATTTTTTCATTGCAAAGTCGATCCATAGAGAGACTGAGAGGAAGAGCTTCCATCCGATAATTCACCCCCCTCCAACCAGTGACCGCAAGGGCCAAAGATGCACCGATCCGAAGCCGGGAGCCCTGAGCTCCTCCGAATCACCCACACGTGAGTGCAGGGTCCAACGGCTTTGGGCTGTTCTCAACTGCTTTCCCAGGTCACAAGCAGGGAGCTGGATGGGAAGCGGGGCTGCTGGGACCATAACCGGCGCCCATATGGGATCCCAGCACGTGTAAGGCAAAGACTTTTAGCCGCTAGGCCACCGTGCAGGGCCCTATTTGAGTTGTTTTCAAAAAGTGGTTGACTGGGGCCCGGCGCGGTGGCGCAAGTGGTTAAGGTCCTCGCCTTGCATGTGGGCGCCAGTTCTATCCCGGCAGCCCCTCTTCCCTTCCAGCTCCCTGCCTGTGGCCCGGGAAAGCAGTCAAGGACGGCCCAAGGCTTTGGGGCCCTGCACCCGTGTGGGAGACCCAGAAGAGGCTCCTGGCTTCGGATCGACATAGCATCGGCTATTGCGCTCACTTGGGGAGTGAATCATTGGACGGAAGATCTTCCTCTCTGTCTCTTCTCTCTGAATATCCGCCTTTCCAATAAAAAAAAAATAATAATAAAAATAAATCTTTAAAAAAAAGTGGTTGACGGAATGAGAGGGTTTCTGGGAGGAACCAACTAGCAAGCGGTAGCCTCTGGGAGTGGCCTCTATGAACCGTGTGTGATGCTGGGTCAACAGCCTGCATGTCAGGGTCCCAGTCAGCCACAAGGACATACGTCCTGCCAATACCCAGACGGAGCTCTGTATGAGTCTTTCCCTAGTGGAGCTTCCCCAGTGAGTCGGGAGGACTCCTAACCAACCCCTTGTGAGCCCGGTACTCAGACTCTGGATCCAGGAATACCTGTTTTCCCTTTGTATTAGCTCACACTGCGGTACCCAGGGCTCCTATCTGGCACCCGAACGTTGAGCAAGTGGATGGTTTTGCACAGCTGTTGCAATGCCCCCGGGGGGGCGGTGAGGCCGGCCGCGAGCGCCCTCTGTCGGCGCGGCGGCCCGCTCGGCCTGGCGCGTGCGTGGCTGCAGGCGCATGCGCGAGGCCCGAGGCCCGAGGCCCGGGTGGAGGCGCTGCAGCTAATCCGCAGGCTTCTGGAGCGTTCGCTCTCCGCGTTTCAGGGTGCTAAGCACGTTCCCTCGGCGGGACCCGGCTATCACCGGGTGAGTTTCAGGGGTGTTATCCTTCAGGCTTTCGTTCCCTTGAGGAAGAGCCGAGTCTTGAGCCGCACTTTGGGAAGGCAGGGTGAAGAGGCCGGAGAATTTGAGTTAAGGCAGATGGAAGCTGACTAGATGAGGTTCTCTCTGGCAGCTCCGGGCCTCCTTTCTGAGGAGGGGAGAGGAAGGAGAGTTGGGCTGACGACCAGAACCTGGGGTGCAGGTACCTGGAAGCAGAAAAGGCCCTTGTTTTGCTCCAGAGGGAACTGGCAGCGCAGGCCGTGCCCGGGGCGTCGCGTCCCTGCCACCTGCCGTGGGTTGAGTCTAATTCCGGCACCCTACAGTAGCTCGTTGGTCTCCATCCCCAAGCCCCAGTTGTACTTAATTCTCTCAGTTCTTCTCTGTTCCGAAGCAACAACAAACACCTGTACTCAGGAGTAACCGACAACCAAGGTGTCTGAAGGCTGTTTTTGAAGTGCTTTTCATGTCCAGCCAGAATGTCTTTGGTCATTCGTTTGCTGCTCCCCTAGTATTAGTATGTTCCTCATCCAACCTCTCTTACCGGCCTGTTGAAATTCCAGACATACACAGGTAACGTGTATTCATTTCTGTCTCTAAAGCGCCAACCACGAAAACAGATTCTGACTTTTCTCACTGAAAGGACACATGCCCCAGCTGGGGACATTTCTGCTCCGTTTGGGAGGATTCACATGTACAAGGGAAGACACAGGGAAGGCGGTGCGTCATCCCTCCAAGAGCACCGAAGGACGTGCCAGGCCGCTGGGCGCAGTGCTGTTGCAGAGCCGGGCAGAGGGAGGCGAGGGGGTTAACACAGCTCGGCGCGGTTCCCCACCGGGGACTTTGAGGGTCCCTGGCTTGGAACCACCATTCCTTTCATAATATTCAGCCTGTTCCTAATCATTGTATTCCAGATATTGAGCACAAGGTTTTCATCCCTTCCACCACAATGTTTTGTGTCCAATTTGAACACTCCTAAATTGAACTTTGCAATTATTATTCATTGAAATCTGGCTTGGCACAAAGAAGGGAACACGAATGAACCCTTGTAAGCCTTCTTTGCATTTCCAAGTGCCGGTTCATTTCTTGAAGGCAAGTCATTGTTAGGGGTTTAGGGAAAAAGTTAGTTCCCAAGTGCCACCTCCAGAGGGCACAGCTGTCTCAAAAAAAATTTTTTTTTTTTTAGTACCTTTATTTTGCCCAAGTTTTTGAGCAAGGGGCTTTGTGTGAAGCTTCAGATTTCTGGGATCTGAATTTCATACAGTGGGAGTCCATTACTTTCCACTTAGCATAAAATTTCAACTTCTTTAAAAAATTTAAAAACTCATCACAATGCTGTTAATTTGACCCTGCCTTAAAAAAATATCTCTGCTCTTCTTCACCCTTTAGTGGTAACGAAGAGTCAAGAACAATGTTTGGTTTAAAAAAAATACATTAAAAATGTATTTGCCTGAATTTGTGTTTCCAAAGATTGCACAAAAGGCCCAGTTTCTGAGAAAATAAAAAGTGTGCTGTGTTTTGCAAGGAATTGTGTTCTGGGTTTAGGACCCAAGATATCATTGCAGCAAATGATTTGGAAGCTCTTTTCTCTTGAAGGATATATGTTTGTAGCATCAGAATTTATGGTGATTTTATTTGAAAATGCTTTTATTTGCAAGGAGGGGAAGGCGACATGTATTAGCTTAGAAAAGATTGGCATTCTTTCCTTCTAGAATGTATATTAAAGAATTCACTTTTTCCTTCTGCTGTCTTAGCCATGTCTGTTGCCTTTGGCGTGAGATTGGATTGTGTAAGGCTAAAAGTCTAAGAAAAGGGAAAACCAGGGACCCACAAAGTGATTTCTATAACTCTCCTTCCTGTGTTTTCCTTACCTCTTACGTGCTGTTCACTTTGGCCTGTCTTTCCTGTGTTTATGTTTTAAAATACAAAGAAACTGATAACAGCGAAAGGTAGTTATTTAAAACTGTTTAGCATCTCTTTAGGAGCAAACGCTTTTTAGGTTTTGGAAGCTCATTTCCATGTTGGCATGGAACATGTTGGGAACAATTCAGGCTAGGTGTTGAAAGTGTTCAATGTGTGTGTCTTATAAAATGGGAAAGAGCCCAAGCTTACCACCCAAACAGAGTATGTTCCATAAAGAAACTGCCTGGAGGTGGTGAAGATGCCTACCTCCCACATCCTGACGGCAGCTCCTGCTCCTTCCCTCCCTCGGATGCTCACTGCCAGCAGGTGACACTGCAGGTGCTTGAGTTCCAGGCACCACGAGGGACCTGAATTGAGTTCCTGGCCCCCTGGCTCCAGCCTAGCCTAACCTTGTCTTGTATCAGCAGATGTGTGGTACCCATTTCTAATAATTTTTTTTTTAAATTATGAAGGAAACCATGCTTAGGAAGTGATATTAGCTAAGCATGTGGAAAAATAGAGAGAGGCTTCAGAAAATACCCCTGAAGTCAAGTCAAGCTGTGCATGAACTATTTTGAGCTAATGTGCATGAGAGAGAAGTGTAATTAGCAAATCCATGGATTTATCCTCCTCCTATTTCAGTTCAAACCAGCGAATGTTAGCGCAGTGATTTATTTCTTGGCCATGTGTATTAGTCTTGTTTCCTTATGGAAATGGGAGATCTCTGGTGCCTGAGAACCAAGTCTTATGTATTAGTGTATTTGTTTTTCTCTATTTGTTATCGTATGTTAGACAAGGTTGATCTTGCACAAAAGGTTGTCAGTGACTCACTGGGCTCTGGAATTGCTGACCACTTCCCATTTTAAACTAGAATATGGCTGACTTTTGAAATTTTAAAGCATTTGTGAATTCCAAAGTGCTTTCTCTCTCAAGTCTGTAGGAGGCCTAAGGCATTCATTTCCTGAGGTGAACGAATGTGCAACTGTCGTCTGATAGGGGACTTGCAAGAGAGTTATAAGCGCTTGTGGGTTTTGGTGCTGTCATTCTTATGGATTATAGAATACACCAGCGACTAGTGTCATGGAAAGGATTCAATGCAAGATGAGGTCACACAGAACAATCGA